AGTGTGAGTTTGGAGCTGGGCCTCCAGAGGCTTTGCAACCTCTAGTCTCACACTCTTGGAACACTGCCACCAAGTGAATAAATTGAGCTAGACTACTGGAGAGGATATGTAGAGAACTGAGGCACCCCAATGGAAGCCTATCAATGGTCAGATATGGAGTGAGGCCATTATAGATTATTCAGCCCCTGACAAATTATCAATAGATTGTCCAGGTGAATAAGCCCAGGTGAGATAAGCAGAAGAACAACCCAGCTTATCTCAGCCCAAATTACCAACACTCAGAATTATGAACTGATAAATGGTTGTTGTTTTTAAGCCACAAAATTTTGGAAGACATTTGTTACCCAATAAAGTAAACTGATATGGAGCCATTTTATCAAGGGCCTATAATGTGATACTAAAATATTTGGATTTTATTCTTAAAAATATGAGAGCTCTGACACATTAACAATGAACAAGTAGAATTTGAAATTAAAGACACACTACCATTCAGATTAGCAATCTCCAAAATGAAATACTTAGGTATAAATCTAACAAATATGTACAAGATCTACATGAGGAAAACCACAAAACTCTGATGAATGAAATCAAAGAACTAAGAAAATGAAGAGAGAGTCTACGTTCGTCCTTAAGAAGACTCAATATTGTCAAGATGTCAGTTCTTCCAAACTTGATCTATTGATGAAATGCAATCCTAATCCAAATCCCAGCAAGTTATTTTGTGGATATTGCCAAACTTATTCTAAAGTTTATACGGAGAGGGAAAAGCCCTAGAATAGCCAACACAGTATTGAAGGTGAAGAACAAAGTTGGAGGACTGACACTACTTGACTTCAAGACTCCCTATGAAACTGTAGTAACAAAGACAATGTGGTATTGGTGAAGGAATAGACAAATAGATCAATGGAACAGAACAGACTGCCCAGAAATAGGCCTATCTAAATATAGTCAATTGATCTTTGACAAAGGAGCAAAGGCCATACAATGGAGCAAAGACAGTCTCTACAACAATGATGCTGGAACAGCTAAACATCCACGTGCAAAAAAATGAACCTAGATATGGACCTTACACCCCTCAAAAACATTTACTCAAAATGGATCACAGATCTAAGCGTAGAATACAAAACTATAAATCTCCTAGAAGATAACATAGGAGACAACATGATGACCTTGGATATGGCCATGACTTTTTAGATACATCACCAAAGACGATGATCCATGAAAGAAATAATTGATAAGCTGGACTTCATCAAAATTAAAAACTGCTACTCTGTGAAGGACAATGTCAAGATAATGAGAAAACACACCACAGACGGGGAGAAAATATTTGCAAAAGACATACTTGATAAAGGACTGTTATCCAAAATATACAAAGAACACTTAAAACTCAATAATAAGAAAATAAACAACCCAATTGAAAAATGGGCCAAAGATGGGGGCAGCCCAGTGGCATAGTGGTTAAGTCTTCATGCTCCACTTCGGTGGCTCTGGGTTCACAGGTTCAGATCCCAGGAGTGGACATAGCACCACCTGTCAAGCCATGCTGTGGCAGCATCCCACATAAAATAGAGGAAGACTGGCACAGATGTTAGCTCAGCAACAATCTTCCTCAAGCAAAAAGAGGAAAATTGGCAACAGATGTTAGCTCAGGGCCAATATTCCTCACACACAAAAAAGAAGTGGGCCAAAGACCTTAACAGACATTTCACCAAAGAAGATATACAAATGGCAGACAAGCATATGAAAAGATGCTCCACATCATACATCATCAGAGAAATGTAAATTAAAACAACGATGAGATACCCCTACAAACCTATTAGAATGGCCCAAATCCGAAACACTGACAACAACAAAACCTGATGAGGATGTTGAGCAAAAAGGACTCTTATTCATTCCTGGTGAGAATGCAAAACAGTCCAGCCACTTTGGAAGACAGTTTGGGGATTTCTTACAAAACCAAACATCCTCTTACCATGTGATGCAGCAGTTGTGGTGATATTTACTTAGACCTGAAAACTTACGTCTACACAAAACCTGTACATGGATGTTTATAGCAGCTTTATTCATAATTGCCAAAACTTGGAAGCAATCAAGATGTCCTTCATTAGGTGAATGGATAAATTAACTGTGGTTCATCCAGACAATGGGATATTTTCAGCAATAAAAATATAAAGCCATGACAAGACATGGAGGAAACTTAAATGCATATTACTAAGTGAAAGAAGCCAATATGAAAAGGCTACATGCTGTGCGATTCCACTTATATGACAATCTGGAATAGGCAAAACTATGGAGACAGTAAAAAACATCAGTGGTTGCCAGTAGTTCAGGGAAGGGAAGAGGAATGTGAAAATACTTGGTATGACACCATAATGATAGATACATGTCATTATACATTGGTCCAAACCCATAGAATGTACAACCCCAAGAGAAAATAATAATGAAAACATGGACTTTGGGTGATGATCATGTGTACAATGTAGGTTCATCAATTGTAAAAAATGTACCACGCTGGCGGAGGAATTTTGATAATGGGGGCGGCTATGCATGTTTATGGGCAGGGACTATATGGGAAACCTTTGTACATGCCTCTCAATTTTGCTGTGAACCTAAAACTGCTCTAAAAATAAAAAGTCTTTTAAGAAAGTGAGTAAAATGACTATGTAACACAATCGTGTCCACCTTCCTGTAACCTGGAACAGCAGAGAAGTTATCATCCGTAAGTTTTTCTATCTTGCTGCTTTGCTATGCCACCCTTTTCCTGGTCCTTTGGCTAGATAGAGTAGGGTTTTGTTGGAGCTTATTTTCTCCGCACCTGTTAGTGTTTCCAGGTTATCAGCTTCTTCAGCTTCAAGTCTGGGATATCCAAGGCAAAAAGAAAACCCAGGAAACTCACCACCATGTTGTTCTTTGGGTCCCAATGTCTGTAGTAGGCCTTCCTTCTTCCCTCAGCTCTTCAGAGCCTTCTTTAGTGTGTTTATATACAATGTCTAGGGTGTTTAGTTATACGTAGTGGGAGGAATGAGGAGAAGTATTTCTACTCCATTTTTCCAAAATTGAATATCTCACAATTGACTTTTATTTCCTTTTCTCATCTTTGTTAGTACTCAATATGTTTCCACTTGAACTAACAACAACACATCAGGTCACAAGTTGAGGGTTTATCGTATACCAAATGAAAGGTAAACCATGTGAGGGAGAATAAATATTCAACTTCAGTGGCTACTTCCAGCTCTTTTGACTTTTGGTGACCCTCCAGATTTTATTTCCTGATTCTTTGGAAAAGGAGTTTTATATATGTTTTAGCCCAAATCATTTTTAAATTTTGGTGTCTCCTTTTGCAGAGAAGAGTCTCCATTTTAGTGGCCTCCCTTGATCCCCTTGAAATCCCAACTGGGGACAGTCAGATTCTAGTGTCTGGTGGAATCATAATGTCTTGGGGTGATCAGACAAAAAGCTTACTCCCAAGGGCAATAGCTGGTAATTTGCGCTTCTCAAATATGCTGTTAACCTTTGAGCCAAACACTTGGTGTATGGTAAATGCTCATTGGACTATTATTTAAATGCGTTCTAATTTACTAAGAAGGACTGCAAGGATAGATATTCTCACTGGCATTACTTCTCTTATGATGTAGAGATAAGAAGATCTGAAATAGTCCCCATTTACCAAATTCTTACCATCGCGATTCTATTTGAAGTTTTGCGTTGGGAAAACATTGATCAGGGTGAGCTATTTTTCAGATTATTCCCTGCCCTTCCCTGCTGGACTTTGTACCACAGGGGGGATCACATCTATAAACTGCATTTCCTTGGCTTCTTTGCCAACTGGCTTCCACTTATAGTGGGACAATGGAAGTATTGGTGGGAAATTGGAATATGGGAAGCTAGGATAATTTTCCCCCTCACTCTTTGTGTTGGGAGCCATCTTTGGACATGACTATGACTCCTTAGTGGCTATAGCTCTTACTAGACAGCTTGTCCCTTTCCAGTCCAAATTCCCCATCTGATAGCCCTGGTCCTGGATTCTGGGAAGACCACCACTTCCCTTTTTTCTTCCATCTGGAGGAGTGGTAACGAAGCTTTACTTCAATTACCTCAATTAAATCTTCTCTATAATATTATTGTCCCCATTATCCCTAGGACCAAACACGTGGTGAGTGGACGAAGCAGAGTTTAACAACCAAGTTCAATCCATTTAACGAGTGTTTTGCAGCTACATCAAGCCATGTTGGAACTGCCAACCTTCCCCAAATGAAATGCAGAACGCAAGAGTAGCTCTTTCTTAAAGCTGGATAGGTAGTTTAAGATAAATCATATATCCTGGTTTCCCTTAGTGGTCCACTGTAGATGATATTTTATATAATAGTACATCCAAAAATAAATGTAGATTTTTAAACTTTGAGTTAACGATAGTTATCTCCCTACATTATTGTGCAAGAAATGATACCACAAGTGCTGCTCAACTTCTATTTCAACCAAACACAGAGGACACTGAGCTTTATAATTCTTGAAGATATTTTTACCCTCTCCCAGTCTATTCTTTAGTGAGATTTCATGATATTATGTATTTCTTTCTGTATAGGTGGTGCATCAAAAATTGTGTGGCTTATGATAAGAAAGTTTGTTTTCACACATGCAAGCAGGAGGAAATCTCTTGTCATTCAGGCTGACCTTTTAGCTTGCTACTGACATTTTTGTCTCTTAATTTGTAAGAGGTAACTTCCTAATTGTTTTTGGAGATGCTTTCAATCTGGTTGTCAGCGAAAATAAAATTTAAGTGCATTCTCAAGTGAAGTCTTTTTCTCTTGTGGGCTAAGGGTTTATTAATCAAAGCCAAGGCTACCTCCATGTGACTATCTCCATTTTGAATTACGTTTAAACTCTACCTTGTCAATGTTAAAGGTGAACATATCACTCTGTAGCTTGGAATTTTAAAGGAAAATTGAAGACAATGGAACAATAGAATATTTTTAAAGAAGAGTCAATAAAAATCAAGGAACTCACATATTTTCTTTTTTTAATAAATACATAAAGCTCTTTACCATTTCCCTCAATCATTTTGATTAACATGATAATAGGATCTTTCCGAGCATCATTACACCAATTTTCACAGCCTGATGTGAGGACTCATTTCACAGAAATAATCATAACCAGCTTTAATAGATGAATGTCAGTGCCATAACACAACAGTATAAGGCATATTTACACCGTCTTAACACACAGAATACCATACACATACACAAAAAAAATCACAGATCCAGAACAAAGGAAATTCAGTCTCCTAGACAGCTTACATTTATAGGCTTCGCCTGAAACATATTTTTTCTTTATTTTTTTGTAATTATTTTTCTTCCCAAGCAACAAACAGATCTTCCCTATGTCTTGTGTTATTTGTAACATTGTGCTCATGCAAAAATAATACTTGTTTTATTGCATTAACATCTAAACAGTTTGAGATTTGGGTCCCCAAACCATCATTTAACATTTTACTTGATGTTGCTTCATCCATATTGTCATTTTAATTGGAGTGATATGATGATTTGTTTTTGGTGAGTTACAAAATGACAAACATATCCAGTTGACCACAGTTCAAAAATCAAGATTCTAAGTTTCTTGATCATGCACATTTTACTTTCATTCTTGCAAAAATGGTTTGATCAGATATACCATTTTGATTCAACATTTATTGGTTTTCTTCTTTTTAGTCATTTTTCTAAAAACAACAACAAAAAAGGATGAAAGAAAATACTGTCCCACATCCACTGTTCACAAAAAGGAAGAGCAGCAAGAAATCACACTGACCATTGTTAGGACACAGTCAGGTGGTGACACAGTAGTAAACATTGAATGTCATCGAAATACTGCAGGAATGTGCTAATTACTATAACCCATACTTTTGTAACAGTTCAGACTGCCACTGGCGTTTGCGCTCTGGAAAATAATCTGGAATGTGGATTTTTTTAAAATCCTGAATACACTTTTTCATTTCTTCTTCCACACTTAGCTTCTCACAGACTTTCTTTTTTGAAAGATTTGTTTCCCGGGACTTGCTGATGAGCGTCTGAAAGAGTTCACTGTTTCTGCGTTTGTCTGGTGGGGGCATCCATTGCACAGGTGCTTTTTTGGAAGGGCGATCCAATGTTAAGGTGTTAGGTTGGTGAGCTGTTGCCTGCTGGGCATTGGGTGGGTTGTCCTGGGGAGTGCTCGCTTCTGAGTGGCTGTCACAACTGGAAGTGGAGAGCTCATTACAGGAAGTCCCACTTTCACTTCCTTTATCTGTGACCTTGTCATGTTTCCTATCTTCATGTTCTTGTTTAGGTGACACTATTTTCTGAGGTGGTCCTAAAAAGGAAAAAAGGAGTAGAATGATTTAATAAGAGGTTAGAATGTCAAATTAAATAAACTCTATATTTTCTATTTTTAAACCAAGAGCACTTATTGTAAGAAAAGTGCCGTTTGTTCACTAGTTTATATTTGCTGGATTAAATACAACACCTCGTGCCATTAGTGTACACTAACACACGTAGTATGTTGATTAATTATTTAGAATCAGAAAGTCCAGGAGGCTGGCTTAATGAGCATTTTTGCCACAACAGATCACTGATAAATTTACGCTAAAAAGAAGATTTTTGTTATTTTAGTTACTAGTTCCTGAAATCTGAAAAAGATATCATATGTAAATATTTTGCTAGTCCCGTAACTGTCTAATTAGACAGTTCATTTCTGTTCTAGCAATTGGTACTAAGTGCCCTTTGTGCATATAGTTTGCCATTATAAAAGTGGAAAGTACCATTACTCTATTTTACACAGCAGCAGTATTCTCCAGGCCCGGAGGTACAATAGCATCATGTATGCTTCCAAGTGGGAGGCTGGTTTAAATCTTATCCTCAGTCTCTTAATCTTGTTTCCTGTCTATTTCCTTGGAGAGAATCATGAAAGTGCTCTAAGACATAAATGTACCTAACATTATAGTGAAAAAATATAGTTAGAATACAGTATTCTTTTAAAATAAAAGGCTTACCATCTGAGGTAAATTACCTAGGAGGACAATTTTCAGAAAGTGATAGCTTGCCAAGATAATTATTTCAAATACACAAACAGTTGATTTCCAAGAGGGAGCATATTTTATTTTCCCTGACTCTGCTGTGGGATTAGGACCTCCATTTAACATTTATTGAATACTACCACATGCCCAGAAATATAATAAAACCTTAATTAACTGGAGGCCAAACATTCAGAAATATGTTACCCAAATTTTATTTATTTATTTATTTTTGTAGTTGACTGTTATGAACAGTTATATAAATCAGAATGCGGGGAGAGGCATCAGTATTTTAAAGCAATTGCCCCTGGGATTGTACCTTGCAGCCAGAGTTGAGAACAACTGGTCTAATTCATAGGGTCTCAACCTTAGTCACATATGGGAATTACCTAGAAAGCTTTAGATTAATGATGCTTGGTCTTAACTCCAGACATCTTGTCTTATTGAAATCTACCTGGTCATGGGGCCATTTAATAGATTCAGATGATTTCAATGTATAGCCAAGATTATGAATCTTTTCTCAGACTAATATATAAGAAATACATTAATAATCAATCTGAGTAGTTATATTATTCAGAAGGACGGGGAAACGAGCCAACGAAAATACTTTTCATAAAGCACCTACTAAGGGCAACACACTGCTGGGTGTTATCACAAATTTACCTATTTAAGTTGATGCCAAATACTTAGTTGAGTGAGATTAAAGATTTAAAAAGGCTTTATAGGGGCTGGCCCCGTGGCCGAGTGGTTAAGTTCGCGCGCTCCGCTGCAGGCGGCCCAGTGTTTCGTTAGTTCGAATCCTGGGCGCGGACATGGCACTGCTCATCAGACCACGCTGAGGCAGCGTCCCACATGCCACAACTAGAAGAACCCACAACGAAGAATACACAACTATGTACCGGGGGGCTTTGGGGAGAAAAAGGAAAAAATAAAATCTTTAAAAAAAAAAAAAGGCTTTATAACTTTTTGGAATAATGAAAGTATTCTATATCTTGACTGTACTGTTAGTTATGTATATAGGACTATATACATTTGTGAAAACTAATGGAATTGCATAACTAAAAAGGATTAATTTTTCCGTATGTAAACTATACCTGAATTAACCTAACCAAAAACAAACAAAAAATCCCCAAATCCTTAAAGAATATTTACCTATTTCAGGGAAAATCTTAACCAATATTTCATACTTCCTTTGTCTGCAATACAGCAAAACTAGAACAAATGCTGATACTTATGAATGCTTAGCAAGAAAATGCACTAATACATTTTAGAAGCATTTGCAACCATGGATTAAAGAAAACAAAAACAAACAGTTTTTTTAAGCCTCTGCCATTTTCATTCATTCTAAGAGAGATTGGGCATGAATCTGAGGGATAGGGGTGGAGAACATGCACCTCTAACTCCTTGCTGACTTACCCAGATCCATTCTCCACTCTCTGTCCTAGTGGCTGACAGGCACAAACTATGTCCTTAGGCTCCCTTGCCTTCTGGCTTCCAGCTGGATTCAGTCAATGACAAAGACTGGCATGACCACACCCTTGCTCCCCCAACCCCCAAAGATTTTTGTAATCTAGTTGCATCCCTGGACCAAGAGGCACAGCCCTGTCTGGCAGCTCTCTCCACCAACCTCTCACTTCCCCCACCCCCTTCCCCTCTCTCCAGATTCCATTAAACTGAGGCTCACATCTTCAGGCCTACAGATGTTAACCATGTCCACTGTAACCGGCATGAGAGCACTTGCCACACTGTTGTAAACGGTCAATATTCAACTTTTCTGAAATTACCCAATTAGATGTACCTTCTTTTTCTTCTGGGACCCTAACTGATAGACCCACCCTGGTCACCAACCATCCTCTCCATTGACTAGAGGGGTGTTAGTTGTAGGATCAGTTTGTTAGTGGCACCAGCTTTTAGTGGCAATAATATTGACCTGGAATCAAGTTCTAGCTCCCCGGCAAATAGTCTTGTGACCTTAAGCAAAATACTTAGATCCTCTAAGTCTCAATTTCCTTATCTGTAAAGTGGGGTAGTAGTACTTTCCTCATAGGGTTATTTTGAGATTAAATGAAATATCATACAAAAGGATTTGGTACAATGATTCTCAACAATGAGAGTATATTGTAAGTAAATGTATATCTGCACATTTTTTTAATGTACAGATGTTCAGGCCCATCTCTGGAGATTTTTAAGCTTGCTGAAAGGTTTGTATGTATGTCTATGTACAGGTCAGTGTGATGGAGGCGGTGCAGCATCTGTTTATCTAATTATCTTTACAGCTGAATGTGATCCCAAGCTAGCATGATGCCCACCAGCCTAATACAACACAGGATATAAATAAATGTTTTTTACCCTTTCTGTCAATCTTTTGCATTACTTTAAGAGAAATCCCTACAGGGGAATCTATAATTTACATTCCCAATAATGACTAAAGGATTAAACTGCAAATACCGGGGAAAACCAATTTTATTTAAGGATAAATGAATGATGAGAAATCACTTCCTGTTAATAGGCAGGGGAACAGAGCACTAGATAGAGATACTTAGGCAGAAAAATAATAACATCAGCATGGAAGACAGTATGGAAGGAGGATATTAGGTGCCACCAAAGCAAATGCTTCATACTGTTTGTATTCCCTGGGGAAAAAAGTGCTTAATGACATAGGCTATGGAGGACACACAGTTATAAAAAGTCCACGGATTAGCTAAATAAATAATATAGAGTTATTATGCCCAATGGCACTGCAATTTATTCATGAAAATAAGCCTCCTCTCCCTCTCTCAATACACACACACACACAAATGCAGAAACTCCACAATACAATAGAATGCAACAAATATGCGATGGAAATGAATTGCTCTCATAGAGTAAGATGGAAGATCAAGGAAGATTTCTTTGAAGAAGGTATTAATCAGTTTAGTCAATGGAAATGTATTGAGCACCACTATGTGCCAAGCACTGTGCTAAGATCTAGAGAAGATGCAAAGATGAGTAGATGAGCCCTCTGTTCCGGTGAAGATCACAGGCTTACTCTACTTAACTATAAGTGGGTGAGGACAAAATGGTGCAGAGAAAGAGACTGCATGTGTGTGGTCAAAGATCTCCATAATTTTCTTGGAAGACAAGCTAAGATGCATGTCACACCAAATGGGCCCTATGTGAATTCCTCATACTAGCTTTTTTTCCCCCAATTCTTTCTCCATTTTCTTTGCCACTCTTTTTATCGCCTATATCTCTCCTTTCCCACCCTCCACCCACCTGGAACGTCAAATAAGATGCATCAGAGCATGGTCAGAAATATGGTCTATTTTATGGCATTTTATAACACTGAGTGTGTAAAACTCAAGGGGCCCTTTAGAATATCTCCCATTGTAGACTTTAAACTCTATAAAAAATAAAAGAGTGGGAACCTGAATTTACCATGATTGTTAGAGCTTCTTTTTTTTTAAAAGACCTTAAAATAGGTACAGATATTAACAAGAATTAACAAATATATACTTTTACTTTTCACTACATACTCCTCTTTAATAAACTATCTTTGGGCAAGGCAGACTCCCAATTAGGAGACTAAATAAGTTCAGATGTTTATAGAATGACTTAAGAGAAAATGCTCAACTTTATCTTGTCTACACTTTAAAAAGATTTTTTTTTTCTGTATGCTTTTTGGTGAGGAACATTGGCCCTGAGCTAACATCCGTTGCCAATCTTCCTCTTTTCTTTTTCTTTTTCTCCCCAAAGCTCCAGTACATAGTTGTATATACTAGTTGTAGGTCATTCTAGTTCTTCTATGTGGGACGTTGCCACAGCATGGCTTTATGAGAAGTGTGTAGGTCCACGCCCAGGATCTGAACAGGTGAACCCTGGGCTGCTGAAGTGGAGTGCTCTAACTTGACCACTGGGCCATGGGGCCAGCCCCTTGCCTACACTTTTGAATGTACAGAATAATATGACAGTTCTCGCTATAGCTCATTAGGGGTAAGTAATAGTCTCTTTTTGATTTATGTCAGAATTTTTGACAATGCATAACATATTATGTATTATTGCTCTTTGATTAAGCATACTTTAAATCACTATTGATAACTTAGTGGATTTGAATTTGGACAAAATACAACAATAAAATGATTTATATGTTTTTATAATATGAAATTTAAGAAAAATAAATGAATTCAGAGCAAATAATGATTTACTCTAGTTGCCTAGTTTTTTTGTGGATGTCTGCTAATTGTAGGCTTCCAGGGATAATCTAAAACTTTAATTTTACATCATTTCATTCAATGATTCAAAGCCACTTGAAATGCTGTAA